TTTTGTGAAATTGTCGATCTTGCAACAAACTCTGAACTGGTCGGTCCACATTCTGCTGAGCGCCTGCGTGTGGCCCTCAGGCAGCAGCCATTGTACTTTACTACACTCAGCTTTGGACTTGTTTGGAGAAGACTTCAGCGCTAATGGATGTGTCCCGGTAAATATTATGGACTTCCGGACGTCAGTGTTTGGTGTCAGCATGTTTGGGTCGGGTTAGTGTCGGCATGTGTGGGTCGGAAACACTGAGGACCGGAGACATTCAGGACCGGGGACACTGAGGACCCTGGACACTGAGGGCCGGGTGTCTTGTCCTGTAATAAAAGCCCCCGAAGCAGAGGGGCCATGTTTTTGATACAAATTGAATGGGACGCTTCCACAGATTGTTCCCGAGGTTGGAGGGGTTCACACGGACGGTTATGTAACGCTGGAGGTTTCAGAGCCAGGACCGGGTCAGGACCGGGTCAGGGCCGAGGGAGAAGCCCGGACTAATGTGTGTTTATCATTGAACACATGGAAATAAAGTCTATCCAACCCTTTTTAAAAGCACTTCTACATCTGTGGTAGAGGACGTTTATTCTGTGCATGGAGTCGGTGACGCGTCTTTGAGTGTCCAGAAAGCACCAGAAGAAACCAACGCATTATTATTACTATAATTAGTATCTGCACTTGTGAAGATGATGTGTGAATATGTGGTTCCCAGATGTAAAACAAGTAACAGAAAAGAAGTAAGTTTATTCGTTTTTATGAGTCTCTGTCGTTAGAGGAAAAAGAGAGAGAGAGAAAGGAGTGAAGACTGTGTTTGGACTCTGAGGACCACAGGGACCGGTCTCCTGCTGGGACTCTGAGGAGCACAAGGACCGGTCTCCTGCTGGGACTCTGAGGAGCACAGGGACCGGCCTCCTGCTGGGACTCTGAGGAGCACAGGGACTGGTCTCCTGCCGGGACTCTGAGGAGCACAGGGACTGGTCTCCTGCTGGGACTCTGAGGAGCACAGGGACCGGCACAGGGACTGGCCTCCTGCTGGGACTCTGAGAGACACAGGTACATATAGACACAGAGAGACACAGGTACATATAGACACTGGTACATATAGACACAGAGACACAGGTACATATAGACACAGAGACACAGGTACATATAGACACTGAGACACAGGTACATATAGACACAGAGAGACACAGGTACATATAGATACTGAGACACAGGTACATATAGACACAGAGAGACACAGGTACATATAGACACTGGTACATATAGACACAGAGACACAGGTACATATAGACACAGAGACACAGGTACATATAGACACTGAGACACAGGTACATATAGACACAGAGAGACACAGGTACATATAGATACTGAGACACAGGTACATATAGATACAGAGAGACACAGGTACATATAGACACAGCGAGACACAGGTACATATAGACACAGCGAGACACAGGTACATATAAACACAGGGAGACACAGGTACATATAGACACAGGTACACATAGACACAGCGAGACACAGGTACATATAGACACAGCGAGACACAGGTACATATAGACACAGGGACATATAGACACAGAGACACAGGTACATATAGACACAGCGAGACACAGGTACATATAGACACAGAGACACAGGTACATATAGACACAGAGACACAGGTACATATAGACACAGAGACACAGGTACATATAGACACAGGTACAAATAGACACAGAGACACAGGTACATATAGACACAGAGACACAGGTACATATAGACACAGCGAGACACAGGTACATATAGACACAGGGAGACACAGGTACATATAGACACAGCGAGACACAGGTACATATAGACACAGGGACATATAGACACAGAGACACAGGTACATATAGACACAGCGAGACACAGGTACATATAGACACAGAGAGACACAGGTACATATAGACACAGAGACAGGTACATATTGACACAGAGACACAGGTACATATAGACACAGAGACACAGGTACATATAGACACAGACCACAGGTACAAATAGACACAGAGACACAGGTACATATAGACACAGAGACACAGGTACATATAGACACAGAGACACAGGTACATATAGACACAGAGAGACACAGGTACATATAGACACAGAGACACAGGTACATATAGACACAGAGACACAGGTACATATAGACACAGAGAGACACAGGTACATATAGACACAGAGACACAGGTACATATAGACACAGAGACACAGGTACATATAGACACAGACACAGGTACACTACATATAGACACAGAGACACAGGTACATATAGACACAGAGAGACACAGGTACATATAGACACAGGTACATATAGACACAGAGACACACATGAGGGCAGGGCAGACAACAGGACAGGAAGTAAAACTAAAACAAAACCACCTCGACAGGATATCAACAAAGGAATAAACATGGGAGGGTAAATGGGTCAGGGCTGGAGAAGGGTTAGAGGCCGGAGGTTAAAGTTAGAGTTAGGGTTAGGGCTGGGGTTCTCTATGTTAGGGTTAGGACTGGAGTTCTCTATGTTAGGGTTAGGACTGGAGTTCTCTATGTTAGGGTTAGGACTGGAGTTCTCTATGTTAGGGTTAGGACTTAGGTATAGGTCATCGCTTGTTTTGCATCAGGTTCACTCTTAACCCAATTCTTCCTTCTCTAAAGCATCTTTGAGTGTCCAAAAGGCGATATTATTGTACAAACAGACAACAGACAGCTAAAATCAATCAATCAAAGAGAAATACGTAAGAAAAATGTATGGAATTATTAATGGGAAGCCAGGTCGTATAGAGGGTGTCCAGGTTTCAGGCGGTGTATATACTCTGTTACTTTGGGACCTAAATGGTCTATATAATACAATAATAAATGACTACAAAGCACAAAGATACAAGTTCAAACAGCGGCTGTCAAGAGATCAATCCAGACCAATAAAATGCACAAGACAATGAAAGAAAAATTGAATCGTCATATTTACGGTTCACCGGTGGAAGCTGGTGTTGACAGCTGTTGGCAAAAGAATCTCTGACATATTCATGATAATCGAGTTAATGATTACACCACACAATACTTCAAAGTGGACTGGGAAACATTATGAGGCAATAAACACGTCTATCTGGCAACGAATGAATGAAAAGAGGTGTTTACAGCTAAGATAACGTCAAAACCTGCTCCCAGTCCACAGATCTGAGTCTGGGACCGGTGTCATGTGCGGATGCCAGACTTTACACTGCAAGAAATGATCAAATGTGAGGTTATACATGCTTGGATTGAGTGTTTTTTCTCCTTAATCTGAGCACATTCTGACTGTGTTAAAAGATTCTGTTGCTTTCTTTTCTCATTCCAAGGGAGACTGTTCTTGCATCTTTTTAAAACAAGATCATTTTGCTTCGCTAAGATAGAGATTGTATACGTTCTTCTTGCTTCTTTATCGGGCTAAAGTTAGAGATGTTATACCCGCTTCTTCATAATGTTAAAGATAGACATTTTAATTTATTCTAGTACAGAGTTATTGTTAATGTATCTTGTGCTGTGTGTTCCTCATTCCTATTGTTCTGTAACTATTGATGCAACACTGACATTTCCCCGCTGTGGGACTAATAACTTTTTGAGGCGATTGGCATCTTTCAGGGTCTGTGATAAGCTTCTCTACATGTTTTATCAGTCTGTTGTGTCTAGTGTCCTTTTCTATGCAGTTGTCTGTTGGGGGGGCAGTGCACGAAAGGCGGGCTCTGTGGTGGGTCTGGGTCTGGATTCAGTGGAGGGGGTGGTAGAGCAAAGAACGCTCTCCAAGATCAGGGTGATCCTGTCCAACCAGAGCCACCCACTAAATTCATTATTTTCCCGCCAGAGAAGCACCATGAGCTCCAGACTCCTCTCTCTGAGGTGCTCCAAGGACAGACTAAAAAACTCTTTTGTCCCCAACGCCATCAGGCTCTATAACAAAGCCACTTCAGGGAGGAGCAGGGAGGGGGGATTAGAGGGGGGGGTCTTGAGAATTGTTTTGCAGTGCCTTAACTTCTCCTTTAATGATTGTAATGTATTTATTGTCTCGTTTTTAACTTTTGCATCTTTTAATTCTAACCTATGTATGTATCTTTGTATGATTGAGAGCAAGGGACGAGTGCACAATTGCCTTCGGGATCAATAAAGTATCTATCTATCTATCTATCTATCTATCTATCTATCTATCTATCTATCTATCTATCTATCTATCTATCTATCTATCTATCTAATACAACATCTACATCTTTGCTGAATTTGAGCAGTCTTTCTCTTCACTGTTTCACGGTGTAGTTTACTACGGTGAACTCCGTAGACTGCGGATAAAAAAATCGTATTAATGCACAATGTCCCTGTCAAATTAACAATAAAATTAAAATGCCACATGACTGGGTACTTTGATAGCTGGTCATTTTCGGTAAATATTGGAGCATTTGTGATCTTTAATGTGATATACTTTGCAAGCTACTGTGACAACGCAATCTCCTTTCATGGCTCTCCAGCACATCCGTTTCAAAGTCCTCCTCATCCCTTACAAAGCTCCTCCATAACCTCCTCCAGACCTCACTGAACCTCCACAGCCCTAAAGTCCCTCCAGTCCACTCCGATCTGCAGACCCACATCTCCTCACTCCCACTGTCAAACCCAAGCACCGAACCTTGGGGGGACCGAGCTCTCCTCTTCCTCCAAGCATACGACTCTTAGTTTCAGTATTGTACTCTTCTTTCCTGCTTTTAGTTTCTTAGTTTCATGTGTCCGTCTGAATGTGTGTGTATGTCAGATTCAGATTCATTTATGTGCCATTTGCAGTAAAACCACATTGGAAAAACTGTGCAAGACTAGCCCAGTGTGCACCAGTGTGTGTGTGTGTGTCCTGAATATATAAAACCAATGTATTATTATTGTTATTATTATTATTAATAAAGTCTGTCTGAGTCTATAAACAGTGGTGGTGGACACAGGGCAGCGGCCACGGGGCAGTAGCGGTCACTCACTGGGGTAGCGGTAGTAGAAGTCGTTGTCCCCGTCCGTGGAGCCGTTGTGTTTGTGCTCGTGCCACTCTTTGGCGTCGGTCTCGTAGTCGTACTGCACCAGCGTCCCGAACAGAATCATGAGGATGATCTCCAGGACCAGGCAGGTGGAGGGCAGCTTCAGGCGCATGTTGGTGGCCGCGTCCGTCATGGTTCCTTCTTTCTTTCTTTCTCTCTCTCAGTCCGGGGGAAAGAGCCACAGAGAGCGGAGAAAGGTGTGAAGCAGATCCGAAGGTAAACACAAAGAGAGACGCACAGGGACGAGGGAGAGAAGGGAGAAGCCACATGCAGAACTGACACACGGAGGTTTTGTGCAGACGGGACACTCCCCCCTCGAACCTGCCCCCGTCCTGCAGAGAGCAGGAGGAGCAGCAGGTGGAGGAGGGCTGGTTTACACACGCACCTCAGCTTTATGGTCTCAGTAAAGAAAGAGCCTATAGACTCTATAGAGAATACAGAGACTACAGCGAGAGAGACTACAGAGACTACAGAGAGAGAGACTACAGAGACTACAGAGAGAGAGACTACAGAGACTACAGAGAGAGACTACAGAGACTACAGAGAGAGAGACTACAGAGACTACAGAGACTACAGAGAGAGAGACTACAAAGAGAGAGACTACAGAGAGAGAGACTACAGAGACTACAGAGAGAGAGACTACAGAGAGAGACTACAGAGAGAGAGACTACAGAGAGAGAGACTACAGAGAGAGAGACTACAGAGACTACAGAGAGAGAGACTACAGAGAGTACAGAGAGAAAGAGTACAGAGAGAGACTACAGTGAGAGACTACAGTGAGAGACTACAGAGAGTACAGAGAGAGAGACTAGAGAGAGAGAGAGAGAGAGACTACAGAGACCATAGAGACTACAGAGAGAAAACTACAGAGAGAGAGAGACCACAGCGAGAGAGGGAGAGCCTATAGAGACCATAAAGACTACAGAGAGAGAGACTAGAGAGAGAGAGAGAGAGAAAGAGAGAGAGAGACCACAGAGACCATAGAGACTACAGAGAGAGAGACTACAGAGAGACAGAGACTACAGAGATAAACTACGTAGAGTGTGAGACTACAGAGAGTATAGTGAGAGAGACTAGAGAGAGAGAGAGAGAGAGACTACAGAGAGAAACTACAGAGAGAGAGAGACCACAGAGAGAGAAAGAACAGAGTCTATCTATATCTATCTAAATAACGAGATTAAAAGGTTCTGACAAGTTTTCTTAGTTTTTATTAGGCCCGAGCCCCAACCGGGGTAAGGGCCTATTGCTTTTCCAACGAGTAATGCCTGGGCAAAGCCTGCTGTAGTACACAGTGAAATGATTGAGGTCCTATTAAAGGGGGGTTCCTATTAAAGGGGGGTCTTACGGACGAATGTCCGGGCGAAGCCCGGACATTCGTCCCCCAAGCCCGACGGCGCGTGCCCAGACACTGACAAAACAGTGCCGGAGGCACTGAATGGCTTTGCTCCTGCTGTAGTACACAGTGTAATGAATGGGGTCCTATGCAGGGGGTGGGTGACCTCATGATGGTGAGGTGATTGACGAGCGCGTTCGCCTCGTCGTTCGCTTTAAAACGACGTATCATTTGTATTATAGGTTACTATGGAAACCTATATTGTTTTTGCTCGAAGATTTACAAAAAAAATTCCTTGGTTTGGTTTGGTTTATTTATTTTTAGTTATTTCTTTTTTCTTCTGCACTTTGAACCTTAATTTGACCCCCTGAACATTGATGAAAAGTTGTGAAATTTTGCCCAAAATTCAGAACTGGCGAAAAATTTATTTTTTTGGTGTTTATTTTTATGGGACAAAAAAAATGCCCGAACAGCGCCCCCTACAAAAGTCAGTTTACATTGCGCCTATGGGAGCGGGTCGGAGGTCAAGTTTGTCGTAGAGCCACGAAACTCGGTACACATGTTCCTCAGGTCAAGACATGAAAAAAAAGTTATTATGGCTCCGCCCCCTGACAAACAGGGAGCTCATTAATTTCAATGGAAAATGGAAAAATGAAAATTGATATTTTTCACACATGTCGGCTGGAAATTATCTCCTCCTCGGCCGTTTCACCGATTTCTCTCAAAATCGCTCCACATGGTCTAAACACATGTCCCATCAATTATTGAATATAGAATTTGGATCAGTTAAACGTTGTCCGAGCAGCGGAGCGGCAAAATGTGACATTTTTTTCCCAATTTTTGACAAAAGTAAATTTGCTCCCGTTTGCACAAACAAAGTCGGATTTGCACCAAATTTTAATCCATTGTTCAGCTCCAGGGTCTAGGTCATCTGAAAGTGGAAATATTGAAATTGGCTCATTAGCGCCCCCTACAGACTATGTCAAAGTTTTACATGGGCCTAATAAAATTTAGTTTTTTCAAAATGTTTGAAATTTTGCACATAATTCTGTTTTGTCATCTGGATTCAAAAAGTCAATGACAACATATGATTATTTTTTACCCTGTTGCCGTGGCGACGACCAACACTCCCCTGTCTGTGTCTATGGCGAAATCGTTAAATCTCTGAAAAGTACACCTCGCTCAAACATCAAACCAGCCCAGGCCGTTTCACTAATTTGTCTGAAAATCGCTCCACATGGTCTCAACACATGGACCATCAATAGTTGCATATAGAATTTGAATTAGTCAAACGGTCTGAGCGTGACAGACTCCCAAAGTGTGGTTATTTTCATAGAGAGGTGTGAAGTTCCCATGTTATCCAATGGAGACTGTGTGGACACACTCACAGATTATATGTGCAAACAGGAGCACATTTACAAACTCTGATTTGCACTAAACTTGACTCGGTTGTTCAACTCCTGGGCCTAGGTCACATGACAGTGTGAACAATGACATTGGCCCATTAGCGCCCCCTACAGGCTGAGTAAAGGTTTACATGGGGATACAGGTATTTAGGTTTTCTGTTGTTTGATCTCATATTTGACCCACATAACAAACACAAAAACTCACCAAACTTTGCCACAAGCTTTTTTCAGGCATAAAGTGTATTATTTTGGTGTTCTTTGGTATAACACTAAAAAAATTAAATTGTAGGGGGCGCTGTTGTACAACATTAAATGCCACCATTTGCACATACAAAGTCCGATTTGCACAAAATTTGAATTGATTGTTCAACTCTCGGGTTTGGGTAAACTGAAAGTGTTAAAGACGAAATTGCAACAATAGCGCCCCCTACAGACTGAGTCAAGTGTTACATGGGGAGAATGAGGTTTACCTTTTCAAAGACACACACAATCACTGATCATAGGAATTCAAAATGCACAGTGTCGCTCCCATCAGGGCGGTAGGAAAATGGCGCGTCAGCGCCACCTCGGTTGCGTGGTGCGGCGAGGGCCGTTAGATGCCGCTTGCGGCTTTAATTTTATTTATTATTTTAGTTTTTTTATCAGACCCGTCAAAGCTGGTCTGACTGAAATGTGAGCAGCGGTGAACCTCCAACTGAAACCCTGTCATGTTTTTCTCAACAGAAAGAGATGTATATTGTGAACAAATAGGACCACATTGTGTTGTCTTCCCTTTATTAAAAAGCATTATCTGTTGTATACATAAAAGACTGTGTCTGTGAAAGGCCCTATATATAAAAAGATGACTTACTTACACTTTAATATGGTGAAGAAGAATCACACATCACAGCTAAGATAAGATAAGCTATTTACAGACATTAAAGGCGCGATACCTGTTTCTGCAATGTTTGAATGTTTAGCACCGCCCCCGACTCGCTCAATAGGGCTGGAAAGCGGAAGTGCGAGATTTTGCGAGATTTCCACCCACGGATACAAACAAACCACACGTGCCAGTTGTATGGTGCTGAGATCGCCGACTTCTTCCTCCTTAAAGGACTTTCCTGTGTTATTTTGGACACATTTCGTTTCTGGGACAGAAAAACTGAGTGAACGGTCGGAATTAGCTGTGAACTGACCATGTCCTGAAGTTTCTATGACGGGGAGATGAGAAAGGTGCAGGGCCGTGTTCAAACTTATAGTTTTTTAATCCACTATTATGCATCCGAAAGACAATATAGAAACACTATCCCCATGCAAATACATTGATGTCCCTTTCTTTGCTGCGTTGGTTATGAGCCAATGTTTATGAATGTTTATCAGCTCGGCAGCGCACTACAGGTTAGCATTAGCTACAAGTTAGCTTGAATACATATTCAAGTTAACCATCTGTAAAATCAGACAAAAGGTTTTATCACAACTGCATAGCTTTTTACACAGCTTCAGTTGGTTTTTGGGAAACCTAAAAAATGAGCATGCTTCATGTAAACTTTGATGATAACAACCGAATACAAAGCAGAGCATTTTGCACCATTCACTTAAACCGCCTCTTCGAACAGCTGACGGTTTGTTTGTATCCGAGCCATGAACCGGAAGTGATTCTGGGACGAGACTTTCCAGCCCTATGGCTTCTTATTTCCCCTACGCTCTCATAACACGGAGCCACCTCGTTTTATTTGCGATCTGATATGTATGCTAACATTAGCATTAGCGTAACTTCTTGTAAGCTGTACAACAATCACTGATGAAATGATACTAAAGCAACGCACTGCTAACACAATATATAAGTAAAAGAATACTGCTAGTTTCGCGTCTGAATGTATTAATTTAAACATTAGAATTTATTCTAATATTTAATTATAATTCATTATACAGCTCCTCACAGCAGCAGTAGAACACTCCATTGACTTGAATGTAATTCTACCAATCATTTTTTCTTGATAATAGAACTCTCAAATCAATAATGACTGCTGCCCTTTGACAACGCAATCTCTGTTTGTAATTCAGGTGTGTAAAATACTGCCATTACTCTGCAAGTACAACAAGCCTTCAGCGCTTGTCACTACACACTTGTCTGTGTAGAGAAGCTAGCGGAGCTAGCCACGCTCAATAAACAAATACATATCTATCAATCAACACCATTAAACGTTAATCGGACAGTACAGTATACATATACATCCTTAACACACATGCACGGACGATTTCAGAATTTGCTGTCAATGTTTTCATGACAAAAATACTGTTTTAATGTGACAAAAAGCGATCGGGAAAAACCAGGAAGTTACCATGAAACAGCTAGCTAGCTTAGCTGTTACCTGCCTAGCACGTCACAGTGAAACCTTTGGGAGCTAACTATTT